CACAGCAACTAGAAGGATGTGCAGCTATGACATACAACTATCTACTGGGGCTTTGGGGGGGAAAAAATAAATAAATAAATAAAATTAAAAAAAAAAAAGAAAAGTTTTCTGTAAAGAGAAATATGCTTCTAGAAATTATGACATGTGTTTATGGGTTTGCTAATCTACTACAGGATGCTGATATATGATAGACAGTTCACAACTGCCTGCTTCCTAATTTTTTCACTGGAAAGTAAAGATTACAAATCACTAAAAAGAAAAAGTTGGAAGAAGAGCTGAGAATACAAAATGAATCAAAGAGAAAATTTCAGAACACTTAGAATAATAACAACACGTAAATTAACTCTATGTAAACTGAGTGAACTGATGCTGAGAGAATGCAGACAAAGCAGCAGGAGCCCCTTTGAAGATAAGAAGCAATGAATCTCATGAGAACTTTCTCCTACTATGGGAGGATTTAACGTAATTTCCTGTTTTTCAAACTATGGTCCAAGACCATTGACAAATTATGAGTAACATTTATTTAAATAAAAAATGTACATGGCATCTACATTTATCAATATAGATAAATGGATAACACATATATCTTCAATTTTATCTATAATACATAGATAAATTTATTATTAAATTTTTTTCAATTACTTGTATGATTTTATATATATAGGTATATGTTGGACAATAATATACAGTATATTTCTCCCTACCTGATGCCTCCAGAATTGAGAAACTTTTTTTTTCCCGAAAGCCCCAGTAGATAGTTGTATGTCATAGCTGCACATCCTTCTAGTTGCTGTATGTGGGACGCGGCCTCAGCATGGCCGGAGAAGCGGTGCATTGGTGCGCGCCCGGGGTTCCAAACCCGGGCCGCCAGTAGCGGAGCGCACGCACTTAACCGCTAAGCCACGGGGCTGGCCGTAGAAACTTATGATAAGTGAGTATTCTTATTTTCATGGCAATATAGTTGTTTGCATAAGTTCAATAGAATCAGTTCTTCTTACAGAAGGACACATTTAGAAAGACTGGTTATATTGCCAACACTTTGACTGGAATGTCATATTTGAGAGAAACATGGATAACCTCAGATATGACCAAACAGCTTTGAGGAACAAGGATTGACTTTATGAAACAAATAAAGCCTTTTGGAAATATGGCCTGTTACCTTGTGTACAGGGTTCCCAGCAACCTTACCAGGTGAGTAAAGAAGGTCCCTTCCCTGGCAGGTGCAAGAACCTCAGGATATTTTGGGGAATCTCAAAAAGACAGGAATTCAGGGGCTGGCCCAGTGGCGTAGCGGTTAAGTGTGCGAGCTCCGCTTCGGCGGCCCAGGGTTCGCAGGTTTGGATCCCGGGCGCGCACTGATGCACCGCTCATCAAGCCATGCTGTGGCAACATCCCATATAAAGTAGAGGAAGATGGGCACAGATGTTAGCCCAGGGCCAGTCTTCCCCAGAAAAAAAAAAAAAAAAAGAGGAGGATTGGCATCAGATGTTAGCTTAGGGCTAATCTTCCTCACCAAAAAAACAAAAAAAGAGAGAGAGAGAGAAGAATTCAGGGCCAGCCCGGTGGCATAGTGATTAAGCCTGCATGCTCTGCTTCAGTGGCCCAGGGTTCAGAGGTTGGGATCCCGGGTGCAGACCTATACACGGCTCATCAAGCCATGCTGTGGAGGCATCCCATATACAAAATAGAGGAAGATGGGCACAGATGTTAGCTCAGGGCTAATCTTCCTCACCAAAAAAAAAAAAAAGAGAGAGAGAGAGAGGAATGCACCCACATCTGTAGGTATTGCAGGGGAAGTCTGATGACAATTCCTTGGCTTGGGTTCCTGGCCTCAAGAGGTCTTTAAAGCTCAGTCTGAGATTCCTTATAAAAAGTTCCAGCAAAGCAGATTTAAAAGAGCCTATATGATCAATTGCTATTCTTGCTGTACTTATGTAAATAATTGGGCCAAGTTTATTAAAACTAGACTTATTTTGCAAACCAACGAGTCTTAACTTGGCTATGTTTGGTAAAAGTGAGGGTGATTATAGAGAGAAAAATTATGTTTCAGTAAAAACTATAATACATATTTGTGGATAATGGATTCTAGTTCTGTTAATTGTCTTGGAGGTTTTTATTTTTTATCTGTGAACTGGACTAGATCCTGAATTCCTCTAGTTTCCTCAAATATCTGGTACAGATCTCCAAACTAACACTTTCAGTTTTTTCCATCCTTTTCATTTGGAATCATTGAGAACTGAAACCACCTTTTTTTCCTGAGGCCCTGCAAACTGGAGCTGGACAGCTTGGTATAAACTTAAGAGAGATCACCACGATAGTCCATGTTTAGACAATTTTCATACCTGTTTCTGTGTAAGCTACTCAAAAAGTTTACCTGAACACACGATGACATCACCAGAGACATTTCAAACTGCAAAACATGCTTTGACCCTGACATCTAGAAATCCTCTTGGGCTCAGGAATTAATTCACAATTTGCTCCAGTCATTAACCTTGTTTTTCTTTTTGTTTCATCAGATTTCACTTGAGGTTCCAGGCACTAACCTTGATTGGTTTACAGGCCTCTTCTCCTAGATTCCCCAAGGAATGAGGTCCATTATGGACGGGATAGTAAATTTTGGGCTATTTTGCTAATATGTTTGGTCATCTATGTAACTATAAAATGTGGACTTAGGTGTCGTTCCAAAGCCACTGATCAGAGTACAAAAATATTAGTCATGCAAAGCATTCCTCACTCTCCCCACCTGGTACCAAAAAATACTTTAAAATAAAGGTAGAACAATTTCATTCCTCTGACCCTGATCTTCACCCTTTCACAGCTGGAAGTAGCTAAAGAGGTCTTTGCCCTCACTCCCCAAGATTGAGGAATGATCATAAAGCAGTGCAGATTAAAACCAAGAATGAAGGAGTTAAAATTTCCCTGGGTTAGGGTGAAAGGTGACTCATACCAACAAGGTTGACATGGGAAACAAAGTAACCAAAGTCTCTGCGCTTGTTTTGCAGAACAACAGGAGGCCGGCTGATAAGAGAGCAACTTGCAGACAGTTCCCCCCTCCCCTGACTAAACATTGCACAGTTGATGTGTGGACACCACCCCACCACTGGCAAGCCACATGATGCTGGTTCAAGCCACCACCCACGTTCAGACCATGCCACCCTCTGATGCCGCCTATGTGGGACTGGATGGAACCCAAATGGCCGAGGGGGCACTTGGGCATCGAGGGACCTAAATACTCCCCAAACTGATCAAAGGTGTTGCCCTGGTGAACCCATGATCAACAGGGGAAATGGTAAAAGAAAGAGATAAGAATGAGGCCAGAGTCAACGTGACGGTTACCACGACCAGCTCGAGGTGCAGCAGGGCTTTGCAGGAGGTGGTGGGCAGAGGCACCGACACAGACATTTCTATGGGCAGAAACAAAAAATTACATTTTAACCTTGACTGTCCCCAACTGGCCAGAGAACAATGGGGTAGTTTTTCCCTGCAGTTAGGACATTTAGAAAGTCTGCACAAGATACACTGTAACTGGAAAGGGTGACCAAGCGGAACTCAACTCAGCCTTAGCCTTGCACACTCTGCACCTTTTGCCTTTAAATACCATCCAACCCAAGACCAAGAGGGTCTCACCTATAAACTTGGGGTTTGAGCTGTACTTCTCTGGTTTGCAAACCTTTTTTTAAGAGAGCATCTTTTTTCTTTAAAATTTCACTTTTGCCTCATCAAGCTGTTTATTTCGGTTAACACTTCACTGTTGGGAGACACCAACTGAAGCATGACGGAGTGAAAATGTCTGAAATGGACTCTAACCTGGTTCAGCAAATACGGAAATATTAAGACAGAAGCAAATGTGTGGCAAAATGTGGCAAAATGTGGCAAATTGCTGAATGCCAGCGGTTGGTATAAGGTGCGAACTGTGCTATTCTTTCTGCTTTTCTGTACATTTTTCTTAACAAAAAGGTTTCCTAAATGCCACCTAAGTGAGGCTTTTCCTGACCACTATATTTAAAATCATGCTCCCTTCCAACACTCCCTTGTCCTTTCGTGCTTGGTTTTTTCCCACAACACTTGTCTCTATTTAACATACATACATACAAATTTTATATACTTTATAACAAAAGTATACAAATAATATATACTTATAAATATACAAATTTAAATGTATAAATATATTATACTTTATGATACATAAATATACTTCATAATATATAACACCTAAACATATTATACTTAATAGTATATAAGTATGTGAATATGCTTAATAATATATATTTTATAATATAGAAGTGTATACTTTACAAGAAATATAACATATAAATATATTTATGTAAACACATTAAACAACAGAAAGTATATAATTTGTAATATCGATTTTACCAACGTGTCCTATTTACTCTGTCCCCGCCATCCCACTCCATTGGAATGTGAGAGCCAGGAGGGCAGAGGTGGCCTCTTGACTTTTTCCCTGCTGGATCCCCAGTCTCAGCCCAGGGCCTGGCAGACAGTAGGCGCTTAAGCAACGTTCATGGCATGAATTAATTCCCTGTGCCGGGTCTCAGAGCAGGCCCAGCGGTCCCTCGGGGCGGGTAGATGCTTCACCTGGGACGAGAGTGTCCGGGGGCGGGGCCAGGTTTCCTCAGCTCTTTGCTGCTCGCTGAGCCCCGCCTACTTTCAGTGCCCCGAGTTGCGGCGCCCCCTGATGCAGGGTCCGGGACAGTGTACCAGGCACAACTGTCCTATTTAATCCTCCCAACAAGCCTACGAGTGAGGTGCTAATAGGATCCCCATTTTATAGATGGGGAAACTGAGGCCCGGAGAGGGGGTCACTTTGCCCATAACCCACACAGCTGGAAGACGGAGAGGCTAGGATTTTAACCCACACAGTCTAGCCTCAAAGTCCACGTTCTCAACCACGAAACCTTACTGTCCTGGGGAAGGCGCGGGGAGGCGTGTGGATTAAGTCTAATAAGCTATGCACGCTCTTACCTATACTAAAATGAGCTTCTTGGAAGAAATATTTCCCGGCCACTAGGATTTGGGTGTGTGTGTGGAGAGGGATCCCATTAGCCTTCCCTGACCGCTCGGACTGTTCATCTCCCAATAACGAAGGCCCAGGGCATGGGCCACCCACCTAGGTCAATGCCAGCCCCTCGGGCCCTGAGCCCGCGGCCACCTGCACCTGCAGATCCTCATCGACCCAAAGGGGCGATCAGCAGTTCATCAGGTACCCTCGCCGCCTCGGTGTCCGTGCCTCGGCCCACCGCCTCCTGCAAGCTCTGCTGCGCGGGGCCCCGCCCGGGTGGGCGAGACAGGAGAGCGGGGGGCGGATGGTGGGAGCCGGCGGACACCTGCGGGAGCAGAAGGTCAGCGCGGGGGCGCCTGTGCGCCCTAGCCTAGCGACCAGTGACGTCAACAAATTTCAGCCATCCGATTGGCTACACTGTCACCAAGCTTCCGCTTCTTGGTCCGAGAAATGAGCACGTGCTCCGGAATAGGGTTTCTTAACCAGGAGTTAATGAATCAGGGCTGGACTCTTAAATCTTTTGAAATTACGTGCAAAATGTGGGCATATAACATGAGCATTGGTTTAGGATGTGGACGCACGTGGGAGGGGGGAGAGACATCCTGGGTTCCCCAGCCCCTTCCCACTGAAGTAACCTGGGGCAGGGACCTCTGGATCTTAGCACACTCATCTGTCAATGGAGATGAAAGATATACTCTAGGGTCAGTGCCAAGTACCCGCTCAGACAAAGCCCCGGACAATGCTAGCTATTATTTATTATGGGCAGCCTTTAGCGTTCTGCACGCTTAACACGTTATCTGTGTGTGCAAAATTCTTATAACATAAAATTCACCATTTTAAAGTATACAATTCAGGGCCGGCCCCGTGGCTTAGCGGTTAAGTGCGTGCACTCCGCTGCTGGCAGCCCGGGGTTCCGATCCCGGGCGCGCACGTGCACTGACGCACCGCTTCTCCAGCCATGCTGAGGCTGTGTCCCACATACAGCAACTAGAAGGATGTGCAGCTATGACATACAACTATCTACTGGGGCTTTGGGGGGGGGGGAATAAATAAAATCTTTAAAAAAAAAAATAAAAATAAAGTATACAATTCAGTGGCATTAAGTACATTCACAGTGTTGTGCAACTGTCACAACTATCTAATTCCAGAACATTTTCATCATTCCAAAAGGAAAACCCCAAACCATTAAGCAGTCACCTCCCATTTCCTCCCTCCCTCCCTCCTGCAAACCACTAATCTGCTTTCTCTATAAATTAACCTATTCTGGAGATTTCATATAAATCGACTCATACAACATGTGGCCTTTTGTGTCTGGCTTCTTTCACTTAGCATGATGTTTTCAAGGTTCAGCCATGTTGTAGCATCTATCAGTGCTTCATTCCTTTTTAAGGCTGAATAATATTCCACTGTGTGGAGAGACCATATTTTGCTTGTCCATTCATCCACTGATGGACATTTGAGTTGTTTTCACCTTTAGGCTATTGTGAGTAATGCTGCTATCTGATTTCATATACAAGTTTTTGTTTGAATATCTGTTTTTAATTTTGAATTCTTTTGAATATATACCTAGGAGTGGAATTGCTGGATCATACGATAACTCTATGCTTAACTTTTTGAGAAGCTGCCAAACTATTTTCCACAGCGGCTGCACTACTTTGCGTTCCCTCCAGCAATGCACAGAGGTTTCCTTTTCTCCACATCCTCACCAACACTTGTCATTTGCCTTTTTTTTTTTTTTTTCTGTTATAGCCATCCTAGTGGGTGTGAAGTAGTGTTTCACTGTGGTTTCGATTTGCATTTCCCTAATGACTAATGTGTGGAGTATCTTTTCATGTGCGTGTTGGCCATTGGTATATCTTCTTTGGAGAAATGTCTATTCAAGTTCATTGCCCATCTTTAAACTGAGTTGTCTTTCTGTTGTTAAGTTGTGGGAGTCATTATATATTCTAGACCCTTATCAGATATACGATCTGCAAATATTTTTCCCATTCTGTGGGTTGTCTTTTCCCTCTCTTGATAGCGTCCTTTGATGCACAAAATTTTTAATTTTGATGAAGTCTAACTTATCTGCTTTGTCTCCTGTTGCTTGTGCTTTTGGAGTCCTAAGAAACCATTGCCAAATCGAAGGTCGTGACAACTTATCCCTATGTTTTCTTCTAAGAGTTTTATAGCTTTAGCTCTTACATTTAGATCTTTGAACACTTGAGTTCATTTTTGCATATGGTGTGATACAGGGGTACAGCTTTTGCATGTGGATATCCAGTTGTTCCAGCATTGCTTGTTGAAGAAACTCTTCTTTCCCCATTGAATGGACTTAGCTCCCTTATCAAAAATCAATTGGCCATAGATGCGTGGGTTTATTTCTGGACTCTCAACCTGTTCCATCGATTTCTATGCCTGTCTTTACACCAGTACCACACTGTTTTGATTACGGTAGCTTTGTAGTAAGTTTTGAAATTGGAAAGTGTGAGTCCTTCAACTTTGCTCTTCTTTTCCAAGATTGTTTCGGTATTTGTGGTCCCTTGAAATTCCAGATGAATTTTAGGATGATCTTTTCCATTTCTGGAAAAAAAAAAAAAAGGCTGTTTTTTTGGTTTGTTTTGTATTTTGATAGAGATTGCGCTGAATCTCTAGATTGCTTTGAGGAGCCTTGCCATCTTTATCATATTGTCTTCCAATCCAGGAATACAGGGTATCTTTCCATTTATTTATGTTGTCTTTACTTTCTTTCAGCCACGTTTGGTAGGTTTTGGTGTACAAGTCTTTCCTCTCTTTGGTCAAGTTCGTTTTTAAGTATTTTATTCTTTTTGATACTATTGTAAGGGGAATTGTTTTCTGTTTGTTTGTATGTTTTGGTGAGGGAGATTGTCCCTGAGCTAACATCTGTGCCAATCTTCCTCTATTTTGCATATGGGACGCCGCCACAGTGTGGCTTGATGAGTGATGTGTAGGTCCGTGCCCGGGATCCAAACCCAGGTGCCAAAGTAGCACATACAAACTTAACCACTACCCCACCAGGCCAGCACCAGGGGAATTGTTTTCTTAATTTGCTTTTCAGATTGCTCATTGCTAGTGTCAAGAAATACAACTGGTTTTTATGTGATGATCTTGTATCCTGCAACTTTGCTGAATTTATTTATTAGTTCGAATAGGTTTTTAGTGTGGATTCTTTAGCATTTTCTACATATAAGATCATGTTATCTACAAATAAAGATAGTTTTACTTCTGCCTTTATAACTTAGGCATCTTTTATTCATTTTTCTAGCTTAATTGCTCTGGATAGAATTTCCAGTACTGGGCCAGCCCCGTGGCTTAGCGGTTAAGTGCGTGCTCTCTGATGCTGGCGGCCCGGGTTCGGATCCCAGGCACACACCGACGCACCGCTTCTCCGGCCATGCTGAGGCCGCGTCCCACATGCGGCAACTAGAAGGATGTGCAGCTATGACATACAACTATCTACTGGGGCTTTGGGGGGAAAATAAATAAATAAATCTTTAAAAAAAAAAGAATTTCCAGTACAGTATTAAATAGAAGAGGCGAAGGCAGACAGTCTTTTCTGGCTTCTGATTTTAGGAGGAAAGCTTTCAGTCTTCCCCCATTGAGTATGATGTTGGCTGAGGGTTTTTCGTAAATGCCCAAGCCAGTGTTTCTTAAACATCTCCCAGGGGCGGGCCCCGTGGCTTAGCGGTTAAGCGCGCGTGCTCCGCTGCTGGCGGCCCGGGTTCGGATCCCGGGCGCGCACCAACACACCGCTTCTCCAGCCATGCTGAGGCCATGTCCCACATACAGCAACTAGAAGGATGTGCAGCTATGACATACGACTATCTACTGGGGCTTTGGGGGAAAAAAATAAATAAATAAAATTATAAAAAAAAAAAATCTCCCAAAAGAATTCTTCCCAAACAGGTGTTCTTCGAGATGTTAGCAAGCTTTTATAGTGCCATAAAAATGGTTTTAACCAATCACACATTGAAAACTGCTGAACTGTGCTTGGACTCTCCCACTGGAACCCGCCTATTGCATTCCGTTCTCTTTTCGCCTGTGAGACTTTATCCCAACACCGGCCGCCAGGCGGCGCGGTAGGCACCTCTCAGCAGCGCCTGAAACCACCAAATCTCGCTGTGGTTGGGTTAATTATTTGAGATTTCTTTACCATCCTGTATTTTAAATAGTTTTTCTTTTCTTCAATTTAACCTAATTCTTCATTATTTTTCCTTATAACAAGGAAGATATATGTATATATATATTATCTTTTTTTATTATCATCATTATTTTTATATGATACTAGGTGTTCCTGCCCAGAACGTAATTGATTTTATTAATTTTCTTGATTGGCTTATAAACGTAGAATTGGTATTTAGCATTTACAGCTAGACTAAATCTGATTTGTCGGACTCACTATGAATTATTGTTTTTTAGAAACCAATAAAATTGTTCATATCCAAAACTATGATAGTGAAACATGATTAGTGAAATTAAGGCATTTACAGCTTCAGAAAATCAAATTTGCAAAATGGTTTTATTATATGTGAATCCCAGGATATTTTTGTGATTTTTTTTCAGAATTTTGATTACTAAATTAAATGAAAATGCATATTTTGGTTCTTTCCACTTGGTGTGTATTTATTATTTCCAAATGAAGAACATCCTTAAGCATTAAGATGACAAAATATTTTGAAAAAAATCATCAGGCCAGCCCAATGGTATAGTGGCTAAGTTCGCGCACTCTGCTTCAGCAGCCTGGGGTTCGCAGGTTCAAATCCCAGGCGTGGACCGATGCACCGCTCATCAAGCCATGCTGTGGAGGTGTCCCTCATACAAAAAATAAAGAAAGATGGGCACAGTTGTTAGCTCAGAGCCAATCTTCCTCACCAAAATAAATAAATAAATAAAAATTTAAAACATTTAAAAAATAAAAAAATCAATTTTCTGAAGCCATTTAAGCCTACAGTCCCCTGAGTATTTTATAATTAAATACATTTAATCTTTACAGATATTCATTTTCCCACCAAATTGGACAGCTTTTTGAATAAAGCTGGAAAATCAGAATCACAAGGCAAATTCAGTTGTCAAAAATAACAAAAGCACTTTTATAGTGCTTTCTACATGCTAGGCCCTGTTTTAAGCACTTTACATATAATAACATTTAATTCTCAGTATGGCCTTAATGGGTGGATACTATTATCCTCACTTTAAAAATGAGAAAACGGGCCAGCCCAGTGGTGCAAGCGGTTAAGTGTGCGCGTTCTGCTGCAGCGGCCCGGGGTTCGCCGGTTCGGATCCAGGGCGTGCACCGATGCACCGCTTGTCAAGCCATGCTGTGGCAGGCATCCCACATATAAAGTAGAAGAAGATGGGCATGGATGTTAGCCCCGGGCCAGTCTTCCTCAGCAAAAAAAAAAAAAAGAAAGAGGAGGATTGGCAGATGGTAGCTCAGGGCCGATCTTCCTCACACACAAAAAATAAAAATGAGAAAACTGAGGCCCAGAGAGGTGAACTCACTTTCTCAGCTTCACACAGCTATTAGGGGATTGAAAAAAAGAGTTGATCTCTAATTAGGCAATGTGAGAGAGTTATCTAAAATGTGAATGTGTGTACCCCAATAAGTCTCTTCTTTACCCTAAGTGTCTTATTCGCATTGAAACATGATCAAATAAAGCAATAATGGCAGGGCCAGCCCCATGGCTTGGTGGTTAAGTGCATGTGCTCCGCTACTGGCGGCCCAGGTGCGGATCCCGGGAGCGCACCCCGGGAGCGCACCGACGCACCACTTCTCCAGCCACGCTGAGGCCGCGACCTACATACAGCAACTAGAAGGATGTGCAGCTATGACATACAACTATCTTCTGGGGCTTTCGGGGAGGGGGGGAAGGAGGATTGGCAATAGATGTTAGCTCAGAGCCGGTCTTCCTCAGCAAAAAGAGGAGGATTAGCACGGATGTTAGCTCAGGGCTGATCTTCCTCACACACACACACACACACACACACACACACACACACACGCAATAATGGCAAGCAAGCCTACTGGCGTCTCCCCACAGAATGTCTGTCTCACACAGAAAAAGCTTGAACCCTTTTTAAAAGGGAAGAAAAGAAGAGATAGCCCTTCTGGATTCTTTCATCAAGGGAAGACAGGTTTCCCAGAGACCTCCAGGCAAATTTCCCCTTGTGTCCCCTTGGCCCATGACCATCCCTTGAGTAATTCTTGAGAAAAGGGAATGACGGGGTGTGGCAATGGTTGGCTGCTGCCCCAACTAATCAGAATTCTAGTCCTAAAGCTGATGGCTGCTGGATAGGCCACAGATGGAAGCTACCCAATAGGGTCTCCCACAGGATCTCCCTGCAGCTGGATCAGAGGTAAAGTGACACAGCTGGGGTCACACACCAAGCCGATAACAGAAGCAGGTTTGACTCCAGACCTGCAACTGGATACGCCTGGTCCTAAGGCCGTGGTCCTAACGTCTGGCTCTTTCTACACCTCCAAATAGCATTAAAGCATATGTGTGAAAGGACCAAAATTAGGATACACAGAATCACAAAGTTAACAGGGACTATGTTTTATAGATTTCTAGATGTTCATCCCCTCCAACAGTCCAGTATCCAGCCTCATGCCACACCCACCAGGGCCCACTATCTGTAGTACTGTCTGCAGGCACTGGAAGAGAGTGAGCGGGGGCAGCTCTGGGTGTAGAAAGACCCCTTTTGTAACCGAACCCAGTTTGTTTTTGCCCGTCGCCCAGAAAGCCAATCACCAAATCAAAGAGATTGCAGCAGAGAGTTTAATCACAAGGCAGCCAACTGAGGAGGCGAGATAATGAACCTTAAATCTGCCTCCCTGAAAATGGTGACTCAGGGATATTTATGGGGTAGGGGACAAGTGTGGAAATAGATGATTAGAGGTGAGGAGAGGTGAGGTAATTGATGAGCTGCGCGAGCGTAGTCAAGCTGCATGGCTCTTCATAGGACGCATGTTCACAAAATGGCAGCCTTAGCATGATCTGAGGGTGGAGTTTTTAGCTTCTTGACGTCAAAAAAGTCACCTATCGGGCATCTTCGAGGGCCCCGTTGATGGGTTGGTGGTCTCAACCGGCCTGAACTGGACAAGTGGTCCTAATTCCTGAAAAACAGCTCAAACATCTGTTACCATGGTGACCCAGGCACCAGGGAGATGTTATTTATAGGAACCTAGTGGGAGTTGGGTAATATATTGCCTAAGCAGCCCAGTTAACAGTGGGCAATCGAACAACTAAAAGCTATAATTACTAGTTGCAAAAAAAAAAAACCCTTTAGTTACTAGCTACCTAGTCATTAATGGCTGTTTATCGGTTTCACGTCAGGGCCAAACTTGAGGCCAGAGAGGAGGCTGGGACAAACGTCCAGGCAGAAGACAAGGTCTGAGCTGATGCAGCGCCAAGGGGACAGAGAGGAAGAGACAGACAGAGCAGAGTGACAGGGCTTTGGGGGCGAAGGGGTACAGTGCCGAGAGATCTGGTCTGGTGACTGCATGTGTGGTTGGGCTGTCCCCAAGACGCGGAAGTGGGGGAAGTGCAGGCTAGTGGGAGAAGATGCTAAACTCAGTTTGTGATGAGGTTGAAAAACCTTCCAAGTCAGAGAAACTGCCAGGACATTGGGGGCTCGGATTGCTGGGTCCTTAAAAATGAAACCGGCTGAGGACCAGGATTCCTGGTTAAAACCCTAGAGTCCCTGACTTGCATCATTGGAAATGACAGCTACTGTCTTGTTCTTTGGCATTTTACTTCAAAATTGCAGCAAAAAGAGGGAAAAAATATATATGAACAGCAGCACCAGGAGATCCGGCCTGAGAACGGAGTGATGCGGAGTCGGGGCCAAATTACACCCTTACCCACAACACGGAGCAGCCGGGAGGCCAGATCCCCAAGGCCTGAGAGGCGCGGCTAGGGGCCCAGACGCCTGGGTCCGGCCCTTAAGGCTTTGGGAGTGTAGCGACCACGTGGGGGCGCCAGAGACCCAGGCGTCCCGGGCCCCGTCCTTTTATTTTATATTGCACTTCAGGTGAGTCATTGTAGGGCGGCGAGGGTCCGGCGGTGACTACACGCTACAGGTCGGTGGATCCCAGGGGGTGGCCGGCACAGCCCGCAGGGTCATACTGGGAACATCCACTCGTGGGCTCTTGTTCCGTACTGCGGGACAACAGAGGCGGAGCGTGAGAGGGAAGCCACACTGCAACTCCCAGCAGCCCTGGGGCGTCCCAGGCTGAGCGCTGGCGGAGTCGCGCCCCAGGACCTCATGGGAAATGTAGTCCACTTCCCAGAGGCCCGCAACAATCATGGGCGGGGGGGGGGCGCAAATTGTGGCAAACACGGCGCAGAGAAAGAAGGGAGATGTAGTTCTGCAAAGAGGAATCGTTGTTGGGCCCCGAAGGCTCTTGGAAAAAATCGTTTCCAGCTGAGAACGCACGGATAGTCAAGAGAGGTGTGGTTCTAGGTCCCGCTGCACCGGAGTTTATAGAAGCTCATAGGAAAGACGGCTCTAGGTCCAGTGCCCAGAAGGGAGCCCAGAGGTTCTCGGCAAAGATATCTCGGCTCAGACGAATGGAAATACCTCCAGAGGCTCATGAGAGGAAACATTAACAGGGGGCCAAGGTCCAGAGGCTTGTAGAGGAAGATTGCTTGGGCCAAAGGGGTTTAGTAAACCCAGGGCTCCAGGGAACCCACGGGAGAGATCTTCGTGGCCAGAAGGCTGACTTCAAGTCCCAGAGGCTCATGGGAAGGGGCTTTCTCCCACGGGAAGGCTAGACGTGAGCAGCAGAGGCTCACGGGAAGGG